GGGTAATTAACTATGGTGCTCGCTCGGCTGAGTACAATTTAGCGTGAACCCCCTAGGAGTTAGGTCGATCTAAATCTAAATCTCTGGGAATGCACCCTTAGTAGTGCTATACAAATTTGTTAATCTGTGGCAGAATGGCGGAAAAAAAGACAGACATTACCTGACAGATTATAGTGCCAAACGGAACGGTCCGCACAGTTTTATAGAGTGATGCCCAGACTGATGTACCTACACAGAGGTCACACCCGATGTATCGAAATCTTACCTCCAGGGTACAGGAACCACTGTCTTTCGGGATACGCTGCTGCAACTAAACAAAAACCTACCAGTCCGTTCAGAACGAGGGGTAAATTGCCACCAAAATGCGTTTTTCAAGGCCCTTAGCGACCACCAAACTGGTTTCAGTAGGTTAGAATACCAGACGACCTCCGAGGTGCTCACTGTATGCAGCAAAACATCGTCGTCTGTTTCTCTAATGAATTGGGGCCTATGACCGCTTCTGGGTAGAACTATGAAACCGCGTGGATTTCTTTATTGAGGTCAGATTTCACCTGTACCGCCCAACTAGTCAAACCAGAGTCTACAGACATCCAGAAGAGGCCTACGACGAAGCATGTACCGCGTCTAAAGTGACACGGGTCTTTGACAGCGTCAGTATTTGGAGTGGATACCACATTGGTGCCAAAACACCAATGGTAGTCATCGACGAAAACTTGATCCATATCAAATAAAGGAATAATCTGGGAACCACTTGACTATCATTTGATAGGGGGCACCTTAGGAACAATTTTAGGTTGCACGGTGAGATTGCCGGTTAACACAGAGCACTTTTAATAGCAGATAACTTACAGAACCAAGGGAATGAGCAGCTACCCTGGTCATTAAAATCGCCACATTTGAACCTCATAGACAATATGTGGGTAGGCCATTACTCGCCGAATCAATGGCCTACATGTTCTACAACACAACTGAACAAAATTTGACAAGTTTTGACCGATACCTGGAATGTTATTCCAGATTGAACTCTTAAAACCTATCCCAAGGAATGCCTTGCTGCTTGGGAGCGCTGGTAGCAGCCAGAAGATGTCAAGCGTAACAGTGACCGTTGCTGTGAATAGACACTGACGTGGAGGTTCTTTGTGATGCGTGTAACTCTTTTACAGAAAATAATTTGGAAAATATGGAGATCCAAAATATCTCTTTTAATGGTCGTCGTATGCCATTGAATAAGCAATGTATTTCTGTTTGCTTCACTGTCGAATCCAATCAATGAACTGATGTCACCATGACAACAAAGAGATAATTTAAACTTATTTAAACACGATGTTAATCCTTATTTTCAATTATCAGTCAGCAAAATAGGAAAAAAACTAATAAAAAATGATTTGGAAAAAAAAAATTCTATATTAAATGTCAAGTCTGTAGATCAAAAGCGAATTTTCACTTCAATGTGTTTGAACCCTAGGGTGAAGGTACATGGAATACATGTACGGGAGCTCGCCTAGATTATGTTGGTGACAGTGTAATTTGCCAAATAATACGAAAGTTATAGAATTACATATGGACCTGTCATGGAATCCCTCTAATGCATAAACAACACTGCTAATAGTTTCATATGCAACTCAAATAAACTCTTATGCCGAGGAATAAACCAAATTCATCATTTGATCAGCTGAAAAAACTTTAAAACTGCACATTGTTTGTATTTCATTGGTCTGCACGTCCCACTTCCCCCAAGAAAAAATCGTTGCACTTAAATCCAAGAGCCGATACGTCTATATTGTCTTCAAAATAATTACGTTTCCTTTATCACAGGTAAACAAGGTAGATTGTTTTCACTTTGCAGTGCTGACAAATCAACAGTATCCCTCTGACTGCATCTACAACTTCCAAGATTGTTCCTGCTACATATTTTCGGCAGCCTCTGCGACGTTTGACGATGGGCGTTTTTACTGCGACTTTCTAAGACCGAGTGGTCAAACGTGGCGGTCAGATCTCGCGGGATTTGAGACCATGCGAGAATGGGAGTTGGTTGAACCTCATTTGAGAAGTAGGTGCCATGTTAAGGAAAAGTGGTTCTTTGATAAGTTCCAGTCTGCATGCTGAGGGGAGGATGGGTTAAGGGGGAGAGGGGGTCTTATGACTTTTAAGCAAAGATGTTCGACTTTGTCTAAAAACCACAACTAATATTTGATACTTTCACCTGTTGAAATGGATGATGAATAGCATTCATCAAATAAATATTTATCAAAAATCAAAATTCACAGTTGAAAACAAAAGTGAAATTTGCTGGCACACTAATATGGCTGGTGTTTGCACCAATTTAATGTAGTAAACGACTTCTTTATTTATCATATCCACATACAGAAAAAAATCTAATTGAATACTGTGACTACAATAATAGTAGCCTGCTCTTATGAATTCACAGAAATGGAAAATAGGGCCTACAGTACTTCTTCCGAAACTAATATACCATTGGCGTGCCGAATGCTGATTTCATTGACGAAACTTATTGCAGAATAGCCTGTTAGATTTGTGAAGTATTTGATGTTGAACCTTAAAGCTGTTTGCCTGAACCATTAATAATTATATCGTAACAAGTCAGAGAAGAATTCATCAGCTGTGTTATGTTATGAGACCTTGCAACATTGGAGGCAAACAAATATTTAGCTGTTGATCGAAGACAAAAATCACACCTAACAGCATTTTATGAACGTGGTGGGCTCTACATAACATAAATGAAAACCAATATAGTTTTCCCTTTCAAAATACTTATTCTAAAAAAATCAGTGCATACCCAAACGTCCTTTATTTTTTCATCCAAGGGTGTTTCTTAAACTAATCCAATATCCCTTTTCCCCAGATAGGCCGCTTATGTTTCTCGGAGGGAAGGACGTTGCGGGGAACAATCACGACTGGCAGTGGCTGGCCACGAGTACGCCTCTCCCACATTCCGGTATGGGCTCGCCACCATGGGTTGCAGGGAGGCCGGAAGCCTTGCCAAGCGCGCTCTGTTTGGCTTACTCGCCCGTTCAAGGCGGTTGGATAAACACAGCATGTAATGCGCCCCTTCCGTATTTGTGCGAAATTCCATTACCAGTACCGTAATGTGAAAATAAGATGGGACTAACTGATATAAGCCATGACGATCGAAGAGATGGGTGATTTCATAAACAAATACAATGCTTCTCTGACCATTTGCTTTTAACAACGACCAAATCTTATCACATGTCGGCCTGCCCTGTAGGAGCAACTCTTTTAAAGTTGCTACACCAAATAAATGGCTTTCATTTCACTTTTCTACGGAATAAAACCTCTCCAGAAAACTTAAAAATGAATTGAACACCAATCTTTTTGAAAATAAAAATAAATCTAGAATTTTAGGACTCTGGTAGCTTTTAATAGTTTTTTAGTGACTGGATGAAATAACTGCTCTTTTAAATTCTACATAATTTAAATCAATTTGTTTTCATCTATCGTTTTCTTTCTCTTTTTGCTTTGAATTCATGTCATGAAGTCTACTGAACATCATTTGGATTAGAGATTTTAATAATAATAATAATAATAATAATAATAATAATAATAATAATAATAATGATTATAATAAGAGTAAGTTATGAAGTCAAACCTTACTACCACAACACTTTGGAGATGTTATATACCTGTATAAGGCTGTATTTATTTAAGCCAAATATGATTAATAAATTTTCTTTAATCCAGTTGCTTTTTTATGAATTGGTTGGTTAGAAATAACACGGAGTTTGAGTAAGTGTCACAAAATGATAAAATGCTGTTTGAGTTACTCAGTTAACGTTAACCCGTACCCTCCCTCCCTCTCTCTCTCTCTCTCTCTCTCTCTCGATACTCTTCCGCCTCTCGGCCCGTTCGCTTCATATATATCACTTTATACTTAAAGATACTATTAAACCAAGCAAAAAAAAAAAAAAATAAAATAAATAAATAAAAAAAAAAAATAATAATAATAATTTCAATTCAAACTAAATTTCAAAGATAAAAAAGTCTGACACTGCAGTCGTTATTGCAACATGAACTTTCTCTATATCTGTTATTTGATAACAGCTGGAGCCACTCTACTGGTACCCTGATACAACGACACAAGGCACTATCTGTACTCGAACAAGGGGGGTTGTGTGTATATATCACACCCGGCAACCTTCGCCATCGATAAATATTTACAGTAGTAAGTAAGAACTCCAATCAACACGTCTAAATTTGCCCCTCTTGTATAGGCATGGCTGATGTTACCTTTATGTATTACAAAGTAATTAATGTGAAGGACCACGCCACCATTAATTTCAAATGAACAGTTCAATTTTAATCATATTTTGAATGTATAGGTTCCAAAGGTTTTGAAGTAAAGAAAAAAACAGTTCACCAAACCGTCAAATAGACTAGTGTACGCTGGTGCGTGTGGATGTGCGTGCATGCGCATACACAAGCACACACTGCTCGCGGCTTTCAGTTAAATGTTCGATTTGTGCTGAAGAGATCTGGGAAGTTTTTCTGCCCTCAAAATCAATAGATGTTTCTAAAAATGTGCAGAAATACATGTACCAAGGTCACCGCGACCGTGGGCATGTCACGGCATATTGCGAAACACCTCCAATAGGGGTCCATCCTCATTAAAACTAGCGCTCTGCGTAGATCGATCCAACGGGGATTCTCGCTGAATGCAATCAGGTTAACAGACAAACACAGCAGCCCCTCTTGGCGTTGGATTACTCTTTGAGCACAGGGTCCGCTAATAGTTTGTTACAAAAAATATTGTATCGAGAGACCCCGAGGGGTTAAATCGACCAAGTAGATCGATAGTTTCATTGGAAATGAGCCCCATTGCGAAATATGGTAACCTTATCCTCTTATCCTGCCTATACTTAATTTGTTTGCCCGTGTTTACATTTTTATCTGGAATCCAAGGGGTGATCACCCTCTGTCATCGTATTTAAAAAGGTCTCTGATGTTGAAATCACCACATCGGAGATAGACTGTGCCCCAAAAGTGTAAGTATTTATGTTTCAGCGTACTGTTTTGAAAAGTGATGTTTGTTAGAAAATAATGTATTATATTCGTAGTTAGATAATATACATATTAAAAAAGGTAAAAAAAATACACAGGGAAAAGTTCCTATTTTCATTTTATTTGAACTTAAATGGGAGAATTGGGATTTATTCTTTTAAGTGGCATTTTAATCACATTCTACCCATGGAATCGAAAAGAGGTAGAGAAATAGAACTGCCTTTTCTTTTTGTTAAGAAAAAATAAAACCTCATTTTACCCTTAGAAATAAGGATGTGAAGGAAATGTTATGGACTATTATGACCTTTCCGTATATTGCATACTTGTTGGCACTGTTTATTTCAAGAGACACTGGTTTTCTTCTATGAGTTGGCTGTTGTGTCCCGATGTAACGAAACTAAGGGTCCGGGTAACAGAAAGCCCGCCATCCATTTAGTTATAATGGTTAGGGTTAGCCTGACCTAAGTGGGTTAATATCTAATTCAAGGCTTACCTGTACAAATGGGTGAGAAGCGGACTCTCTATCATGGGGGGCTCTCTGTCACGTTAACCGGTGTTACAACGCTGAGTGTACGACCATCAAATCGACCCATCACCTGGGGAAGGAATCGATATTTGTTCAATGATAACGTATGAACTGTAATCTGTCATCCATGTTTGTATCTGCATGTCGTCGGATAGATCGGTGTTCCAGCAAGGCACCAAGCATACAGGCATCTGTATATTTAGTGTTTCATAAAAGAGGGTCTTTGCAATAACATTTGCGAAGAGGCCAAGTGCATTTTTATCTATGGAAGACAGGTTTTAAAGCAGAATTGGTTTTTTGAGCGAAGAGTAAATAAATATACCGTCAATACATGAAAAAGAAAAGGGAGTCACCTTCGAGACAGAAAAATATGCGCTTTAAAATTTTTCGTGAATTTTTTTGTCTACTGATTTGTGTGAAGAATGCACTGGCATTCATGATTCAGGGGCTATATAACTGTTTATATCCGCCAAATTGATAAGAACAGCATCCTGATGTTTATACCTGGACTTTGTTGAAAGGCTGATATTAAAACAGGTAGCACTGTTACATGACACTTTTTTATTTAATATATAAAATTTTCAGTATTGTCAGTATTGTTTTCGATATTGTTTTCAGTATTGTTTTTCACACATAAAGATGCGGGCAGCAATTGTCCTACTCGTGGGATTGGCTTTCATTGGGGGCTGTTTCGCGAAGTACTGCATGCCAGAACAAAACTGCTGGCCATCATCAGATCGACTGGCTAAATTCAAAGGTAAAGCAGGCGCCGAACTGGTGCCTACAAATACACAATAACACGGATGATAGTTATGCTTGTTCGTTAAGCCGAATATCTATTAGAAGGAATTCATCCATTCTAAATACCGACGCTACCTTTTTAGAATTATTTTTTCTGTGTAGTGATCATTGTCATTGTACTGCCAAAATTGAAAATAAGAGTTAAAATATCTCATCATTGCACTTTTGAGTGCTTTAAGTTCATTTGTATAAAGTTGCAAAAATTTTGTTTTGCCTAAAATTATATCATTAATTTTTTTGTAAAGGAACTTTAAAAGGGAAGCTTGTTCTTCCAACCGACGCATTCTTCGTCAACGCCACCAAGGGGGTGATCTACAATGAGAGATACACCACAAACCCTGGTAAGTGAAAATGTCGACCTGAAACAGCACTGTCATTGTATTTTGATTTTTTTTTACAATCCGCAAAAATACTGGCATTCTATATTCCATGGGCGTAACTAGGCATACGCACGGATGCACTGTGCGTACAATTTTTTTGAGCCAATCATGATATTATTCTCTATAAATTTAGTGTATTTTCACGAAAAATCCTCTT